AACTAACTGTAAACAGTATCTGTTTAGTTTACTCTGTATTACTTAATTATAAGTATTTTTTTCCAGAACCATTGCAAATGCTGATCTGTGGGACATTGGTGTTAAGGATAACCTGTATCCCTAATTGGTTTGGATACAGTCTCGATGGTTTTAAGATACTTCTGTAGGAAACATCTTTCAGGATTTTCCTGTTTTTCAGAGATCTCACAAATAATTGCTTTTCTTAAAATTTAAAATTTGTAAATAATTATCGAGTACATTGGGAGAAAACATTCATTCCAACAGAACTGGTCACTCACTTTTTCAAGCTGAAGCCTGGATGAAAGTTCTTTAACTTGTTTCTCCCTTTCAAGTATTTTTCTCCTGAGATTCTCCATGGAAAAAAATAACAAAGAAATTATTTTAATGTCTGTACACAACAGTGCAACAGCAACGCACACTTCAGATGTAAAACTAAGATTCCATTTTGTGATGATAAACAACAAATACTCCCACTTTGCCACTGTCACTTGAAATCATACGATACCGCAAGACAGCCATTTTCAGATGTACATCATAGAACAAAAAGAGACAGAAATTTTAATTTACTTACAGTATTTTGGGTTTCATTTTCACTTAACTTCAGCACCAAAGTGTCAATGTTTTTACCATTTAACTGCAAGACAGAAGCAGGAAACATTAAAAAATTACTTCTGATTATAATTGATACAGCATTTTTTCAATAGTTTTGAATATATATATATAGATATAAAATTTGCTACATTTTCAAATTAGGTACATATAAATATAAAAGCTCATATACTCATGTGCTACTTAGAGTTGGTGGTTTAAACACTAAAGATTAAATTTATTTTGTGCACAGAACTTTGTAGCCGAGGAAAACAAACTAGGGTCATTGCATATGCCAATTTCTTTCTTTATTTTAACTAAAAGGACTCTATCTGCCATAAATACTTAAGTGCTATTCAAATAGGTAGTCAAATAGTAGAAGTATTTCTAAAACTTGTAATATTTTAAAGTTTATTAAGTATTAAAGCCTTTCAGCAACTTCAGTTAGATAGGAGATTTTTAAGATGGAACCAGAAAGCATAGGCTGCAAGAACACAAAAATCAACCCACATTAACTGTTACTAGAAATCCAAAAGAATTTATGTGCCTATAATCTTGTCAACTAAACTTCTCATTTTAAAATGCCTGATTTTGTGAGTGGGGTAATTTACATTTAAAAAAAAAATAGACTTGTGGGACTTTGAGATTTTAAATCTGCAACATTTTAATTTCACTAGTGAGAGGATAAACCCACTGCCTCAAGGTGGAAACTTGGGCATTAAAAGTTTTACTACAACTCCTTGCAAAGCAATCATCTCAGCCTGGCCTGCATATATTTCCTCAGAATATTCTGTAATCTCGATCCCATGTTTATATGTAAAGTCAGTACAGAGAATTCTGCATCCAGATTTCCACCTGCAGTGCAAACTTATAAACATTATATTCAGCAGAAGTTTTACCATTTCCTGACTACACTGAGGCAGATTTGCTATCAGCAAATAAGTAATATATAAACAGGAATGCTGTTTTGTGACCCCACAGTAATTTATCAGCAAAAATAGAAGTGCTTAGAAGACTTCCCAGAATTGAGAAGTGACTGGAAAACTAAATTACTCATACCATCCATTCTCAAGAAATTATCTTCCCCAAAGTTAGTTCTCTATGAACTTTCTCTCTAACAATCAACAAAAAGCCTCATGCTGTAAGACAAGTAGAATTGTCTATGAAAACCTGAAAATCAAGAATATTATCTTTAAAATAATAAAAAAAAGAATAAACACCCATCTCCATTCGCTTGCGAGAACAGAAGATTAGCTTTATGACTTCCGAAAGAAAGCTAGGGAAGTCAGCAATGACAAATGACGTTTAATTTTAAAAGAAATCTACATTCTCTTCTCCATCAGGTTTCTGTGCAAGTTCCACATGACATTACTGTTATACAGGAATTCATTGTGATTCACCTCCTGTGGTAACACACATTCCTTCCAATTTTGCAAGAACTTTCTTAGTGCATACGACATAACAAAAAAATCTTACCATCTATTAAAGAAGACGATAAGACTAAATGTTAGTCTAAGATTTGCGTAAGAAATGTACATTTGCATTGATTCTATGCTTATGCCTTACATATTTTCTTACTTGGTGTTGTAGACTGTCAGATTCTTTGCTTAAATCAGTAAAGCATTTTCCATCTTGGATGGCTTTTGTAGTTCTATGATAATCCTTTTCATAAGGCTTTATCTGTGAACAGAGTTTTCCTGCTTCTCCAGGTGGCACATACATTTTTCCCTGAAATAGTACTCATAATCATGTAACATTTAATATCACTCACAGTCAGGACACTGATCTTGCTCATTCAAGGATATCAACATAAAACAAGTCAGTTCTTCAAGAGAATCATTTAAGAGAAATTTTAAAGACCAAAGAAATCTCTTACTTATGACTTCCAACAAGGGTGAAAAGCCTGTGATATCACAGGATGTACCCTCAAACTGATCACTCATAGAACACACCTAATCGTTACCTAAAGGCAAAGGTAAACAGTTTACCTCCAGTGCAGGTGGAGGCCAAGTCCTGCTCAGACACCGATACAATGTTTCACAGCAGAGTTCTTCCAATTTGGAAGCAGCAATGGCTTTTCTCATTTCCCAGTTTGGAAAGCTCCTCACCTTGCAGGGCTGCACAGGAACATGATGCTGCCTGTGTCATGGCAAGTCCAGTGCCAAGTATAGCTGCAGTCCAGAGCCTACTACCTAAACGCACTCCATTCCCCTTGCTTCCTTGTCAAGCACCAGGAACCTGCTGTCACCCTCACCCCTTCTCTGAACACCTCTCTCCTGTCTCTACCCTCACACTCCAGCATGAGTGATGCCCTCACAAAGCACAAAGTTACCTGTTAACCCCGCTCAGTGCTCCACTGACTACTCATTATTTTTCAGAAGTCGATAGTCTTGCCTTCTCCATCCACCAGGACCCATTTCTCTTGCTTTCAGGCTGTACCAGGTGCACCTCCATTTGCCAGACTAAGAGTTTATATTCTTACATATCTATCTGCTTAGCATGATTGAGAAAATGAGTAACAGAATTGGGGAAGTTCCCAACTAAAAAAATCACTTCTTCACAGAATCAGAACATAGACTGCTCTGCTTCCAACAGTTGCCACAAGGCAAATCACTAAACTCCACACATCTAATGTTATCTTATTTTTTATATAAACATATATATATGTATATATATATATACACATATATATATATATATATTTGTGTCTTAAGTTTTATTACAGTCTTATATTTCCTGGCAGACCTCAATTTGTGTAAACACAGTGCAGGTCTCCATAGCTTTTTCTTGGCTATATAACCAAAACCAAGTTCTTGGAATTTCATTACTTCCAGTGAAAACAGCAACTTGAAAGATTAAACAGCATGTTTCATTTATTGTAGCCCATCTAGGTAAGCAGAAAAGAACAAATAAGATTTTTTTCCATAGGTTCAGTACACTGTTTTTATGTCCAACACTCTCACTACTCATTTTTTGAATTATCACCTACTTCCCATCTGTAGCTAGGAAGGATGTTTTGAATCTTGTTAACAAAGCAAATAGAATGAAAAAAACCCAGGCTTAACAGGAACAGAATGAACTTGCCTCAGCAGCACGAGGAAGAAGCTTTTGCTGAAGACCAGAGTCCAATAAAGGAGCGGTACAGTCACGCACAGGTGAAGAGGAGGGTGACTGCGATAATGATGACATTTTGCTTCAACACTGTAGAAGGAGACAGTGCACGTTAACATACATCGGTGTTCTGAGGATCAGTAACTGAAACATTATCGGCCTCTCAGGTCATTCCCACTAGAAAATACAGTGTACCAGACCAAGTAAACCCCAGTCTCGTCACAGATTTACCACAGTTAATGCAACTGAAATCTTGCACGCTTGGAAACACTTCAGCAGCACCGAATTCACACATTTGGTGCTCAGAAATCAAGTCCCTCGACAGCAGAAAACTGAACACAGACCAAGGACGGGTAAAGCTGCAACTTCCCACTTCCGCGCTCCCCAGCCCAGAGGCCACCGAGCAGCGGCCGTCACCTCGG